ACACACACACACACACACACACACACACACACCAAATCAAGTGTTGTTGATCATAAACAGGCCCGTGTTCTCATTGATATACAGCAGCAAGGAGTGTCGTGTGGTGTGGTGTGGCTTGAGAGGGAGGCAGTGCAGGACAAGTGGTTTGTTGTGGGAAGCCGGCCACAGACAGACAGACAGGCGGGGGTGATATTGTATTTAATCATTGGCAAGTGTTTGGCTGGTTGGTTCGTGGAGTGTGGTGTGGGAGTGTGAATGTTCGAGCGTGTGTACGATGTGATGTCATTGCCTTTTTTTTGGTTCTATTTTACTCTTTATGCTTTGTTGTTGTTTAGGCAAAAGAGAGAGACAGACAGACAGACCGACAGACAGACAGACAGACAGACAGACAGACAGACAGACAGACAGACAGACAGACAGGCTGAGAGAGAGAGAGAGAAAGGGGGGAGACAGAGGAAGAAAGAGTGTGAGAGAGAATGTGAAAGAAAGCGAGAGAGAGAGAGAGAGAGAGAGAGAGAGAGAGAGAGAGAGGGGGGGGGGCGATCGAGAGAAAGAGAATGAAAGAGAGTTTTCATGTATGTGTGTACGTGTTTTTTGTCTGTGTGTGAACCCGTATGTATTAATGTGTTACATTATCTCAATGTGGTGATACTAAGGAGTGGTCAGAATAAAACAGGTGAGACAGGGAGTAAGAGAGGGAGAGAGGGAAAAACGGTGTAATTTTACAAGGGAGGAAAAGTGACGGCGTCTAGAAGGGCAGGAGGCGACAGAACATACCTCCCGAACTCTGGTCTCATTACTGTCCCATCCTTCCACATATTTTCTTCCTCTGGCCCTCCTCCTCTCACCACCCTCCCCCACCCCTGCCATCTCTACCTCTCCCATCGCCCTCGCCACACGCACACAGAAGAGACAAGAACTATCCGATACTGATACTCGATACCATCATAATTTTTTTTTACAAACGAAATACATTATATACTAAAAACTAAACAAAGCATAACTAAGTCAGCGTCCCCTAAGCGCTTAAATACCGATGACACCATCAATCTTGGTGAGTACGTTTTAGGAGTGACCATGGCGTTCTCTACTTCTGTAGTAAAGTACGCTATGGGAGTGACCCATTCATATGAACAACAAGCACTGTATGTGAGTGGTTTGTAATTGAACATCGTGGACGAGTAGGCTGAGGTCGTCAACAGGGATAATCATAAAATTAAAAGAGGAAATTCCTATAATAAAATATCTTTCTCACACCTATTAAAAGAGGAAATTCCTATAATAAAATATCTTTCTCACACCTATTAAAAGAAGATATTCCTATGATAAAATATCTTTCTCACACCTATTAAAAGAAGATATTCCTATGATAAAATATCTTTCTCACACCTATTAAAAGAAGATATTCCTATAATAAAATATCTTTCTCACACCTATTAAAAGAAGATATTCCTATGATA